GGATACCACAATTCGTAAAAAAGCCTGAAAAGCTGGAATCTCTAAGTAAATCTGGAAGTAGGGCAAAAGGGGGAGTATTGGTTAAAGTCTGTTTATAAAATACTAAGCTCCCTCTCAGCCAGTATAGTCAGAATACTGATCCCAGGAGAAGACAGGAGTTTTATCCTCTATAAAAGGTAAAACAAGGTCACTGAATTTGGGATAACCAGGCACAGGTGAAGGTGAACAAATTTTATTGCAAACACAGATATTAATTATTTGTATTCTAATACTGTTGTTGTTGTTATATGCCATCTAGTCACCTGCAAAGATTTCCCATCTTTCTCTTAAGGAGCAGGGAGTGGATCTGAACTGCACACATTTGAGTAGGCAGCACAACTCCCTCCCACTAGGCCACCAGAAAGTGATGGCTACTAAGCCAAAGGTGGGTGACTCTAATCTGCAGCCCTTGGGCGTGTTTTTAATTGTGTTTGGACAAGTGTTCTTCTAGGTCATATAACCCTGGTGTGTCCACTTGCCGTACAGAGGTAACCTGTGGTTGCTATGAAGCTGAACACTGCGACACTGGTGTGTCAAATGCAATAATGGTTATCAATGGCGGACAGTGTTTGGTGGAGCTCCCTGATTAAAACAAGCTTGGAAGCAGGAATGGCATCCACTTCCGTAAACAGCTTGCCTCCAGAAACTCTATGAACTTGGAGAAAGGATGAAAGACACAAAAGTATTGAGTACATTCGTTCATAGGGTCGCTATGACTCGCCTACGACTCGACGGCACTTAACAACAAGGCCACCAGGGCTGTTGTTGCTGCTGTGTACTATTAAGTCAGAACAGACGCATAGCTGACCCTCCAATGGGCTTTAAAACAGAAGCAGTAAATCAGCTAGGAATAGATAGCCCACCTTTCTCCTGCAGAGCTGTTGGGGTATTCAAACTGGATATCTTTGGGGCGGGCAGCACAACTCCTTACCATTAAGCCACCAGAGTTCCAAACATACAGATTTAAGCATCATTTTGGACTGACCAACTCTTAAACAAGAGTATCCAAACAAGGAACATGAGACAACAGAAGAGAGCTTTTAATTTGTAAGAAAAAAATTAAAACAAATATAAAAATGCAACATAGATTAAGAAGAGAGAATGAGAACTTATTTTTTTTAAAATAACACCCTGTCATTAGCACAATATAACCATGAGGCAGGAATAGAACATATATAAAACATTTATTAAAAAGAGATGACTTTAAAAAAGAGCTAGTTTTTGGAGAAGAGTATTGAATGTACCATGGACTGCCAAGAAAACAAACAGATTCATTGTAGAGAGGATTAAACCAGGCTGCTCCTTGGAGGCAAGGATTCTGGGGCTTCGTCTGACATACTTTGGACATGTTGTGAGGAGAGACAGGTCCTTGGAGAGGGACATCATGCTGGGTAGAGTAGAGGGACAGCGCAGGAGGGGAAGACCCTCTATGAGGTGGATTGATTCAGTGACTGGGGTAATCAGGATGGGTGTGTCAGAGGCAGTGAGATTGACACAGGATAGAGCAGGGTTTAGGGCTGTTGTACATAGGGTTGCTATGAGTCGCAAACGACTCAACGGCCCATAAGAACAACAACAACAATATTAGAATCAAAGAAAATTCAAAATAATTGTCACTGAGTCAGAACTGACTGATAAATGACCCTCAAGGTGACCTAGTGGTAAGAAGCTGCACTGTAAACCCAAAGGAACATGATTTGAGTCCACCAGCTGCTGGGAGAAATATGGGAATCTCCTCCCATGTGATCAACTGCTTCTGAAAACCTGCTGGAGGGTCAGCTATGAGTTGGTTCCAACTTGATGGTACATGACAACAACAGAGGGGTTTTGAGAGATTTTCAATCACACAGAAGGAGCCTGTCCATCCTTCTCCCACAGAGCCCCTGGTGGATTCAAACTGCCAAAGATGCCTTTGGGTTAGTAGTGCAACTCCCTATAGACTATGCTACCAGAGCACCCTAAAATAGGAAGTAGAGGGGGAAAATATATTAGAAGATAGAGTTTCTTTCATAAAAAGATGGGAAAGAGAAAAGAATGCAAATAATTTATTCTAGTCCAGGAGGATCTTACATTTGATTAATACATTCTACAAAGAGCAAATGGAACAAAAAATATGGGAAGATACCATCAAAATAATTAATTCAAGGACCTTCCTTATAGCTATTGTTCTTGTCGTGCACCGTTGAGTTGGAACTGACCAACAGCCACCCTCCAGTAGGTTTTCAGAGGCTAGAGGAGACTGCCTACCTTTTTCCTGTGAAGAAGCTAGTGGATTTGAACCATGTGACTTCAGATTGTAGCACAGCTCCTTAACCACTGGGCCACCAAAGCCCCCTTAGAAAGGCATGCAATTCAACAATGAAAGAGGCTCTCAAGCCTACATATGAACATGGACCCACACAAAGCCCCCCATTATTATGAAACTTTAAAACACTGTGAATAAAGAGAGAAATGCTACAAACTTCTAGAGAGAAAAACAGGAATCAAAGTTTCTAATAACTACTTTCAATCTACCTTTCTCAAGAAGCTACTAAGAAAGAAAAATCACTTCTCTCTCACTCTCATTGAGTTAAAACTAACTCATAGCTGATCCTCCATTGGGTTTCCAAGGATATAAATCCCCAAGGCTGTAAAATGAATGAGAAGATATGACTCATCTTTTTTTCAGGAACCACGGGGGATCCAAATTAGAAGAGACATGTGATTTTCATGTTAGCAGCACAATTTCCTACAGATGATACAAATTATTTGAAAGCTAAAATGTGGCATCAGGATTGGAAAAAAGACTCATCAATAACCTTTGTCACGCAAATGACACAATCTTGCTTGCTGAAAGTGAGGAGGATTAAAGCACTTGCTTCACAAGGTTAAACATTGCAGCCTTCAATATGGATTGCATCTCAACATTAAGAAAACAAAAATCCTTGCCACTAGAACAGCATCATGATGGACAAATAAAGGATTGAAACTGTCAATAACTTCATCTTACTTGGATCTACCACAAACATCCTTGATATCAGCATTCAGGAGATCAGAAGACATATCGTACTGGGAAAGCCTGCAGTCAGGGACCTCTCAAAATCATTGAGGAGTAATGTGAGTTTGAAGACTACGGTGTAGCTGATTCAGGCCACAATCTTTTCAGACAGTTGCTCTGCATCTGAGAGCTGGACAATGAATAAGGAATACAAAAGAAAATTTGATGCCTTTAAACTGTGGTGCTGGAAAAAAATACTGAAAAAAATCCCATGGACAGCCAAAAGAACAAACAGTTGTGCCATGCAGAAAGTGCAGCCAGAGTGCTCCTTAGAGGCAAAGACAATGAAACTTTGTCTCATATACTTGAGGCATGTTGCTAGGAAAGGCTTTTCCTCGGTCAGGGGCATCATACTTGGGAAGGGGAGCGGGCAAAAAGAAGATGACCCTCAACCAGGTGGGTTGACACAGTGGCTGCGACAATAGGCTTGAGTATGTCAGAGATTGTGAAGATGGCATGGGATAGGACAGCGTTCAGATTAGTTGTTCACAGGGTTCTGTGAGTCATACTTGACTCAACAGACCCTAACAACAACAGCACCCAAGAAAGGGAAGTCAGCACACTATGGTCAATGGCAAAGGAGGTCACTGGGGGGAGCGTAAGAGTAAGTAACAGCCAAGGCAAATACTATCACACACACAATCCCAAAACAACAGTAATAAATAGCATCCACATGTAGATACACAGATAGAAAGACAAGATAAGCATATGTGGGAAGGTGAATGGAAGTATACACAAGTATATATAGAATTGGCAGAGGGCAGTTCTACATATGAATATGGATGTGCTGTAAATACATTCAAGGCTATTTACTGTGGAACATACAAGAAGTGAACCTATGAAAACTTTTTTCTATGACAAAACACCTTGGGGGAATGACTCATTGGACTTGGGGACTTAGGATCAAAGCCTCAGGGGACAACTAGGTCAGCTGGCATAGCACAGCCTACAAACACAATGCTCTACATTCTATTTCAGTGAGTAGCAACTGGTGTCTTAAAAGCTTGCAGGTGGCTATCTAAAGTACAACTATTGGCCGTCTTTCCTTCTAGATGGAAAAAAAATGTAAAGAAAAGAAAAGATTAAAGAAAATAGTCTAAAGGACGAACAGACCATGAGAACAGAAAAATTAGATGGTACCTGGCTACCACTATTGATCACTTTGATGAGGTCCACGACAACAAAAGAGAAGTAATCATGATTAATCATTACTAACTCAAAGCTCAACTGTGAATAGCATTTATATAGACACGGTCAGAAAAAAAAAAAGATGTAACTAAAATGACAGTACCTACCTCTGTATTAGGGGTAGAGGCAGGGACGGAAAGGGTGACTACATGGTGGAAAAGGGAGGAGAGAAAAGAACTAAAGCCTCATAATCTTCAGGGGGAAGTCATTAGTAAGGTTCTAATGCTCTAGGTCAGAGTAAAAAGACAGTCTTATTTAGAACTTTGACTGTAAATACCCAAAGAAAGTGCCAAGAGAGTTTCAAGTGGTACCCACTAGGGAAGGGAGAGGGGAAGGAAAATAAGGATGATAGAAAACTGTTGGAGCCTTTGGTAATCAATCATGTTGTAGAAATATTGGACTTTTCATGTGTGTATATACATAGTTTATGTGTATGTATAATTTTTGAAAAGAATTCAAATGTGTTTATCTAAAATATTAAAATATATTTTGTTTACCAGTTTACTACTAATTACTTACTACTAATTTTTAATTGATTACACTCTGAGTTAATCACAGAAGTATTTTTTTAGACGCTAACTTTAAAAAAATCTACTCTCAAATAATTAGTACATTTGGATCTATTTGATAATTTCCTTAATATTTTTTTTCCTTTCTCATAAGCTACGTAAATTCTTTTCCAAGTTTTTCTGGCCAAGTTTATTCTGAGACATTTTTGTTAACACAAACTACTTACAAGTTCTAGTGGACTGAGGCGTGTGCCAGAGATAGGCCTGGAATCGGGTGATTCGAAACTGGATGAGTGGAGGCTGGAAAAGAAAAAGCAAAAGAAGTATTCATCTGTGAACAATTTTCTTTATTTCTAGTAAGTAAGTTAATTCTAGCACACACCAAAAAAAGCAAAAGCATTCAATAAATCAGTCTTAAGGGAGAAGCAAATTTTAAAATGTTACAGTATTTAAACCATTTTATTAAGAAATATTTTCACTGTTTTTAGGAAGATTGAAAATGTTAAATAATTAAAAGAAATAGATGAGTGATTCTTTCTCCTCAGTTTTAGCTCCATATGGTGATATGACACCATTTCAACCAAAACCATTTCTTGGTCCCAGAGTCCTTTCCGAAATCTTGAGCAGCTCAACTTGCTTCCATCAACTTGCTTCCATCAAGAAACTATAAACTGCATGGGAGAAGACTGCCCATCTTTCTCCCAAGGAGATTTGAACTGGCTGCCTTTGGGTTGGCACAGTAACTCCTTAACCAGCAAGCCACCAGATCTCCCCCTCCACAACAACTACATGGTACATAATTAACCCAGCTGTCATTTGACTCAAACTCATGTGACTACATTTATGTCAGAATAGAACCGTGTTCTACTGGATTTTCACTGGCTAGATTTCTGGAAGTGGATGGACAGGCCTATATTCTCTGGCAACTCTGGATAAACAAGAACCTCCTAACTTCTGGTTAAGTGAGCAGTAAAGAGTGTTAACGGTTGGTAATACCCAGGGACTCTCAGGGCATAATCAGGAAAAGTCAAACTTGAAAAACAACAATCCAAAACTAGATTTAAGGGGAAATATGAGTTTAAAGACTAAGATATGCCCTATTCAAGCCAGTGGCTTCCTATGCATGTTGGACACAGGGTGAAAAGAAAGCCTACCAACTGGGAACAAACATTTGGTAATACCATCTCAGACAAGACTCTCATAACAAAAGTTTACCCAATACTCCTGGGCCTCCACAAGAAAAAGACTGATAACCCAATTACAAAATGGGAAAAAAGACATGGAAAGAATCTTCATAGAGAAAATATTTGAATGGCAAACAGACACATGAAGAGATGTTCAAAATCCCTGGCAATAAGAGAAATGCCAATCAAAACCACAATGAGGTACCATCTCACTCCAGCAGCAGCAGCAAAGTTTAACAGGGCAGCAAGAAATAAATGTTGGAGACGTGGCAAGAAAAGAACTCTTATACATTGTTGGGGGATTGTAAAATGGTACAACCACTCTGGAAGGCAGTTTGGTGCTTCCTCAAAAAGCTGAACATAGACATTCCATATGACCCAGATATTCCACTATTCGGAATATACCCTGAGAAAATGAGAACTGAGGCACAAACGGAAATTTGTACACCAATGTTCATAGCAGCATTATTCACCACTGCAAAAACTGGAAACAGCCCAAATGTCAAACCACAAATGAATGGATTGAGAAATTATGGTACATTCACACAATGGAATATTATGCAGCACACAGGAGGAATGATTTTGTAAATTATTATCTAACTTGGGAGGGACTGGAGAGCATTATGCTAAGTGAACTAACTCAGTCCCACAAGGACAAATATTGTATAAAACCATTATTGTAGAATGAGTATAAGGATCCAAGGGGAGTGGGGGACGGTGGAAGCAGAGGGATGAGATTGTGCAGGGGGAAGATGGAATTAATCATGGAGTTTTGCAATTTGATGGGGAGGTGAGGGAAATTGGAAGAACCTGTTCTTGAAAACAATGTATTCCAATTTTGTAAATAAACTTGTATAAAAAGAAAAACATTAAATACCCCCCCAAAAAAAGTTGGACAACAAATAAGGCTGACCAGCAAAGAACTGATGCCTTTGAACTGTAGTGCTGGCAAAAAGTACTGATATAACATGGACTGCCAAAGAGGCAAGCTAATGTGTCTCAGAGAAAGTGCAAGCAGGTTTTTGTCAGAAGCAAGGATGATGAAATTTCGTCTCACATACTTTGGGCATGTTGTCAGGAGGTTCCTGTCCTTGGAAAAAGACATGTGGAGAAAGGCCAGAGAATGAAAGGAAGATCCTCAATGAGATGGACTGACGTAAAGACGGCAGCAATGGGCTCATGCATGACAGACAGCGTGAGAATAGTGCAGTATAGGGCAGGGTTCACACCTGTCCATACTGTCGCTATGAACTGTGGTTGATTCACATGCACCTAACAACCAACAATCAGTTATTGGTTTAAATCTATGAACATAGCTACAAGAGAAATACATATACCTGAAGGAGGAAGAAGGTCTATTTTCTGGCGTTCTTGAAGATGTAGGTCCAAACAGTTTTCTTTGCTCTTCCTGTGGCGTAAATGGTCTTTGAGTTCTAACTGTTCTCAGTGCGTTTCGAGCCTCACTTATGATTTCTGCACTGGTCTTCTGCTTGGACATGGAGGGTCGATAGAATGGATCCAGCTTCTCAAACTTTTTATCTCTTGGAGACAACATCTTTTCTTTTCAAGTAAAACGTTCTTCAGGTGGAACCACACCCTGCAAATACACGGTATAGCCTTCAACTAAAAAAAAAAATCTATACTAGCTTATTTACAAAATTTGAATACATTGTTTTAAAGAACAGATTCTTTCACTTTCCCTCAGCACCCCCAACAGGTTGTACAATCCCATGATTAATCCCCCCACCCCCTGCACATCCTCATCCCTCTGCTTCCACCCTCTCCCACCCCTCTTGGATCCTTATACTCATTCTACAATATTTGTCCTTGTGGGACTTAGTTCACTCAGCATAATGCTCTCCAGTACCTCTCAAGTTAGATAATAATTTTTTAAAATTTTTTTATTATTATTTCTGTGTGTGTACCATCAAATCGGATCTGACTGGTACAGGAGGAGACTGTTCCTCCTTCTCCAGCAGAGCATCTGGTGGATTTGAACTGCGCACCTCTGGGATTGCAGTGCAGCTTCTTGCCACTAGGCCACCAGAGCTCACCAATCAAGTTAGATAATAATTTACAAAATCATTGCTCCTGCATGCTGCATAGTTTTCCACTGTGTGAATGTACCATAATTTCTCAATCCATTCATTTGTAGTTGGACATTTGGGCTGTTTCCATGTTCTTGCCATGGTGAATAACGCTGTTATGAACACTGGTGTACAAATCTCCATTTGTGCCTCAGTTCTCATTTTCTCAGGATATATTACAAGTCATCAACTATTATATTTATCCAAGAGTTTAGACAGGAGTGTTTACATTCACTCATAATAACTTAAGTAATTCCACTATTATCACACTTAAAAAACATAATACACTATACCTAATTAGCAAAGCATCCATTTCTCAATCTGACCATTGCCATCAAGTTGGAAACAACTCATAGCTGACCCTCCAGCAGGTTTCTGGAAGGCTGTAAATGGAATAGGAGGAGACCATAAATCTTTCTCCTGTGGACTCACTGATGGATTCCGACAGCCAGAGTGGTGTAACCTCTGGGCTGGAAACATAATTCCCTTCAGTCTATATCGCCAGAGCTCTCTAAACATCCATAGGTCAGAAACTGCCCTATAAGGGGGTTTGCACAGTTATGTCTTCAGGAGTATATAGTGTGCAAGGAAGGGGCCCAGTATGGAAGGTAACCCTCCAGGATCAAGAACAGAAATTGTGAAAAGTAACAAGCAGATAAATAATCTCATAGTCTGGAATCTTTGAGACGGTCCAGTTAAAGTGACTCAAGTTTTTTTTTTTCTTCATCCCTGTCTTCCACATAAGATGGTAATATAAAGGTACAGATGAGATTTATTTCCAAATTTTGCTCATCTAACTTCTGGGAAGGATTCAATCTCACGTTTGTCAATGAGACATTTAAATTAACTGATTAAAACAATTTTTAAATTTCAGATAAGTGTTTGAGATGAACAAATCTTAAATAGCAATAGCAAATAGTCCTTTCCTGGATTATTTGGCTTGGTTTAAAAGTAAAAATCCTGCACAAGACCCATGAAAGTGCAGATACTTCTTAATGGCTAAGAAGCCCTGGTTGCCTGGCTTGTAGAAGTTGAACAGCTGACCAAAAGGGGGCAGTTCAAATCCACCAGTGGCTCCACAGGAGCAATATGGGCACTTTTTCTATTTAAAGACTTTTAAATAAAGTCTTTAAATAAAGACTTTTTGTTTTTTTTTATTTAAAGACTTTTTAAAAAACCTGCTGGAGGGTCAGTCATAAATTGGATCTCACTTGAAGACAAATTTCTCAAAGGCTGGTGGATGCCACGGAGACCTGGACAACTTCTTAAATGGAAAGCTAGAAACATCTTAAAAATTTAATGTTATTTAGTACATAACACTATATTTCATTTTCATCGAAAAGCAAAAAAATCCCAAACAAACCAAAAACAAAACCAAACAACCAACGTATCTCCATTTCCCTAAAAATGTGAAGGTTCTAGGGAACTAAGGTCTGGAAATAATTTAGGCATTTTGGTTGCCCAAATTTAGAACAACTTCAAAGAGGAAAACACATATGGGGGGGCAGAGGGGGGAATTACTCTGTTTCTACAGGTGGAAAGTATAAACAGTTGATCCTTGAAACAAATACAGAAAATCTGCCACATCATGATTCTATACTTTTAAGTTACTCTGTAACAACAGACCAGAACATTTGTTTAGTTTACCCAGGCCCAACCTTAAGAGGATAAGAGAAAGATGAAAACTACCAACAATATGCCATTCTTTTCTTATGGAAAGACAGGTGTTGAGTAAAACAGTAAATTCCTGGGTAAGCAAGCCTGTCCTTGGGATTCTTGATCTTACTGTTGTTGTATACTGGAGAGTTGGAAGTGACCCACAGCTGACCCTGTAGGTTTTCAGAGGCAGATATTCACATAGGAGAGCGCACGTCCTTCTCCGAGAAGCAGGGGGTGGCCTCGAGATGTGATTTATTGCCACTAAGATTTTTGATCTAGGACTTTGAATTATATACATTAATAAAATACATATCTGTCTAGTAAATTCTAATAGTGAGCCTGTGCATTAAGTGTTGGCCTGCTAACCAAACCATCAGTGGTTGCAACAGCTCCTTATTGTTAAAAAGTGGGGCAGTCTTTTCACATAAAGCTTTACAGCCTTAGAGACCCACTGAAGGGCAGCCATGAGTCTGAATCGACTCAGACAGCAGTGGGTTTGAAACCGAACAGAGTAGAACTGCACGTTCGATTTCCTAGGCCATACATACATTTTTTTAAGAGTAGACTGCTTCATCTTTGTGCATGGAGCCACTTACTCTCGTGCTGCTGTAAAGTCATCGAGAAGTAAGTGACTCACAGGAGGTTTCTGAGGCTGTAAATCACACAGGAGGAGACTGCCCATCTTCTCCCACAAGGTGACTGGTAGTCTCAAATTGCCAGAGAGGTACTGCCGTTGGATTAGCAGCATGACTCACTATGGACCACTACAGCTCCTTAGGGAATGTTTGGTGGGTTTGAATTGCTTGTTTCAGTTAGCAGCCTAACGCTTAAGCTACTACACCACTAGAACTCATTAATACAATTCTCAAATTGATTAACACAATTCTCAGAAACTATAGCAGTCCAGTAGAATTTGCATCTCACATTTTTGAGTCATTCTTTATTTAAATAACATCCAAAGCTTATTATTAAAAATGTGTGTAAAAGCACTTTTATATTACTTCTAAATCTCTTCTTTTTTGATGCATAACAATATAAATTCAATTGCCACCATATCTACTTTAAAGAATTATGATAGGTTGCCTGATTTCTAAAAAGTTCATTGTTGTGGTTAGGTGCCATTGAGTCAAGTAGGACTCATAGCGACCATACGAGCAGCCAACTGAACCGTGACCTATCATGTGCCATCCTCATCACCGCTGACAGACTGAAGTCCACGTATCAATTTATCTCATTGGCTTCCCAAGGAATAGCCCCGCCTAAAAGGTTCATAGCTGTATTAAATCATACCACACAGTGAGGTGTTTGCTACAATGTAACAGGTTTCTTACAGTCCAAATTTGCAACCTCTTTAGTATACAGAGTTCTAACAAGTCTAGCCATGTCCAAAGGTGATTCTGGCAACAGAGGTTAGAGAGAGTGATTTGGAAAAATGAAAACCAAATTGAAACTAGTTGCCATTGAATTGCCTCTGAGGGATGGCATGACAGCTGAGAGTAGGGTTTTCCAGGCTGTGATCTTCTGGAAGCAGCAGCTGAACTTTTACTTCACGGAGCCCTTGGCTGGGTTTGAATGGCCAACTTTGCACTTAGTCGGTAAGTGATTAATGGTTTGCATCACCCAGGGAAGTCACAGTCCTGACTCCCGGTTCTCCATGGCGATACTCTATTAGGAGCTCTGAGAGGCAAGGATGATGACAGTCCATCTGGCATACTCTGCATGCTGTCAGAAGGCACCTGTTCTTGAGAAAAAGACATCATGCTTGGAAAAGCAGAGGGTCAGTGAAAGAGAGGGAGATCCTCAGTGAGATGGATGGGCAATGCCACTTTATTTGTGTTGATGAACTAAGTATGGGGTTTTAAAAATACATGATCCTATAGAAGAAATTTTGGATAGAATTTAATCCATAACAAAGTATCTATAAGTCAGTCTCAAATCATATGGTCTACTCTTGTCTCCCATGTTGGAATTACACATCAAAAAGAAACAGCATGTTTTTCACTGTTAAAAAGACTATCTCACCATCTATCTGGAAGTACAATGCTGTCAGTGATAGCATAATACCCATGTATTCACAAGAAATAGCAGTTAACACAATTCTCATTCAAATTTACCCTTCAACCATTAAAGCCAAAGACAGCCAAATATCAGGAAACATAATTTTAACACTTCATACAATGTATAATTGATCAAACCTATAATCAAAGGCACTGATAAGTATTAGCTGGAATGAGAAAGTCAGAATCAAGAAAGAAATAAGCTTGATAACTGAACAATGTGACCTTGGTAAAAAAAAAATGCCACGAATTGTATGACAGAATTTTGCAAGTGCAAGAACTTATTCACTGCAAATACATTTCTTCATCAATAAAAACTGCAATGGTGCACAAGCTGTGGTTGTTGTTAGGTGCCAGTGAGTTGAGTAAAACTCACAGCAACCCTATGAACAACAGATCTGAACCAGGTCCTATCCTGTGCCATCCTCACAATCGTTGACAAACTCAAGTCCATTGCTGCAGTCACTGTGCCAATCCATCTGGTTGAGGGTCTTCCTCTCTTTCACAGACTCTCCACTTTCTTAAAAGGTGTCCCTCCCCAAAGAATAGCTTTTCCTAACCACATTCGTAGTATGTGAGATGAAGGTTTGCCATCTTTGCCTTCAAAGAGCACTCTGGTTGCACTTTCTCCAAGGCATATGTTTGTTCTTTTGGCAGTCCATAGGATTTCAGTACTTTCCTCCAACACCATAGCTCAAATGTATCACTTCTTCTTCTGTCATCCTTATTCAATGTCAAGCTCTCACATGCAC